GGCCGGCCGCCCCGGAGGCGCCCAGCCCGGCTGGCGTGCGGGGACGCGCCACGCCCCGGGAGAGGGGCGGTCGCCTCGGTGCCACGTCCGGCCGAGTCCAACCGCTCCAGCGGGAGTGGCCGCCTTTGGAGACTTCTCTTTGGGGGTCTGTCTTGAGCGGCGCGATGAATTACTTAACCCTCTTAGGCATTTTCGAACGCTCGGTTTATTCACTGCAAACACACATCAAACAATCTAGAATATTACTCAAACGACTAAGGATAAACAACTATGCGCATAGGGGCATAATAACAGCACTCTCCACACATTTCGTTCTAGCACCATAGTCCCAACAAGCATGGCCTCAAGGGTGCGCTCACCCGGGGTAGAGTTGGAGAGAGCAGGAGTTGATGGCTCCTTGGTTCCTAGCTCTCTCAAATGTCAGTGTCTCTACCCAGGTTTACATGGACAGCTTGGCTGGCTCTTTGACGTCTTCACTGTCCCAGTCTAGTATTATCGGGTGTCCCCACCCTTTGGGTGACTTGGCTGCCTTTCGGGGGTCGGTCAGGTCTCAGCCAAGTCTTATCAGGGTTCCCCACACTTTTGTGGTGGCTCCTTGGATCAGCTGTTGATTCTTGGCGATGGTCCAATTTCTTGGCTGGGCCCTAATATCACACTTTATTTCTTCTCTAAAGTGGGTTTTTTTGTGTTTGTTTCTTTGAGGTGGCTCAGCGTCTTGCAAGGTAGTTCAACATCTTGCAAGGAAGTTCGAGGGTGCTCTCATCAGGGTCCTGGGAAAGCCAGTGGGGTGGCGGACGCTTCTAGCCTGGGACCAACTGCCGCCCAACTCCTCGGAGCCTTGCTGCTTGGAACTTGGGTGCTGGGCACTTTGGGGGCCCTGGAGTCCCCTGCTTCTCTGCCTCCCCAGGGGAGGACTCTGGCCTGGGCCGCCTGGGCTCCGGCTCCCCGCAACAGGTAATGGCTCCAGCTGCTCCTAGGGCTTCCGACTGCCCCGGGAGACATGTCCTCCCAGTCCTTGGAAGCAACCCAGTCCCACCCTCCGGGGGCTCCCTGAGCCTGGGGGCTGAAGTGTGACTGCGACCAATGGCAAGGACCTCCCAGGGAAACACACAGGTTTCCCTCCAGGATCCAGCCCGGTGGAGCGGCCAATGGCCGCGGAGTCCCTCTGGAGGAGTTGGTGAGACATCCTTTCCCTGGCTGGGCATGGATGGGCACAGCTGGGGATGGCGTTTCTTTGCACACGTCCTCCAAGGCTGAGCCTGCTTCCTACCTGGCGCAAAGAGCCGGCCAGCGCAGGAAGGCGGACAGGGCGGCTCCGGTCCCAGGTTTGGGGGGCCGGACTAGAGGAGGGCGCAGAGCGCAGCTGTCCTGGCGCGCCCTCCGCAGGCGCGGGTTTCGCGTGGGCAGCTCGCGGCTGGGCGAGGTGACGCGCGTCCCCTCTGGGCGCAGGCGGGCACCGTGCCCGCACTCGTGGCCACTTTCTAGATCCCAGCCTTTCCTTTCCCAAGTCTGGCTTCTTGGCCCACCCGCATCTGCGGAGCGCCAGGCCCCGAGCTGGGGACACCGCCACCTCCACCCTCCAGCCCACGCCGCTGTTTCCAAAGCGCCTTTCTCCTGCCAGGTCCTCCTCCCCGCGTCGCGAACCCCGGGAGACGCTCCGAGGGAGACAGCTGCGGGCTGGCAAGGGGACACTGGCTCTTGGAGAGTCAAATACATGGGTCCAGGGGTCAGGCCTTGGCGGGACCTGCGAGCCGCCCTGCGCCTTCTGACGCCGGGGGCGGAGGCTGCAAGCCGCGCCCAGCACCCAGCGCCCAGCGCCGAGCCCCCAGGGAGCGAGCGCTCTCGAGCAGTGGAAACCCCGGAGCTCCGCTCCCGCGGCGCGGCGCCACCTCCCCGCCTTCTCCGCGCAGAGCTCTCAGGCCACCGGTGCCCATCCCCAAGAGCACAGGGCCAGAGGCAGCAACCGATTGCGGGTGACCCTGAGCGACCTTAGTCCAGGGCTCAGAGAGACCCGATCTGTTGACAGAAAAGGGGTACCATGAGGGTGCAGGGTCTGAGGGTGTCCAAGTTACATACAATCGCCTACTTCCCGGTGGGGCTCGGCTGCGGCACCCGCCCCAGGGAGCCAGTCAGGACCTTTGGCGACCAGGCGGGGTGAGCTAGGGGGCACCCCGCGGGAGACTGGGGCCATGTTGTTTTTAGAAAACTGCTGCCAATGGCTCTTCCTCCTTCGCTGCTGAGTGTGCACCCCCAGCCTGGACTCCCAAGGGCAAGGCAGAGAGTCACAGGATCCTACATCAGAGGGGGAGGGGGATGGTCGCCCACCAGGACCTCGCCCCCTCCAGGGGTCTGGTGGCAGATGGTCCCAAGAGCCTTTCCAGGGGGGTGGGCTCCTCCAGCAAGTTAATGCTCAGAGAATGCCTGTCTCCCTTCCTGCTCACCAGCCCAGCACTTGTGCCAGCCTTTCTCCAAGCCCCTAATAAGGCATGCAGTACACACTCTGGGGGAAAATATCATAGTTAAGTTCTGCCACTGATTATCCTGGTCGTAGCTGATTTGAGGCTTTTCTAGATGCCTTCGTTTCCACATACAGAACCAGCTAATCGAACCTCACCACACTGATTGATCATTGCTCGCTAGTTGGTGCAGAGCAAATTGTTGCTGCTAACAACCTCTTTCCACAGCTCTTGTATTCCACTAAGTGCTGGGAAAAGGTCCGTTTTAGATTTCTGCAATTCCCCAGCAAGGAAGGTAGACCAACCTTTAGAGAAGAAAAAGTGATAGACAGAGAAAGAATCTGGCAAGGTTCCTAGGTTGATTTCATTTTGGTCTCATGAACACATCACTCTTTCCCGACATCGCAAATCCCCAGACTGGATACGACCCACTTCCACTGAAGGGAAGATTCATCGACCTCACACTCAGAATGCTGTGCTGAGACCTCCATCAGCAATATTCAGTCCCAATGACTTGTACTCAAGGGCTGTTGCGGGAATCTCCCCAGGAAGGCTAGAACTGTGGCCTCTCATTAAGAGGAAGATGGGGTGGTGAAAGCTTTATTCCTTTCATCACGTTCTCATCAATTTGTCAGAAAAAAGATGAAATCCATTGCTCCCCAAAGGCAATTTGAGCCACTAACTCCTTCACAGTATTACAGGTTGATGCAATGATGGAGATTCAAGTTGGTTTCTCAAAATTCTATCCTGTCTGCCTTAGTCAAAAATTTAAAAGCATCAAACCCATACATCGGAAATTCAGTAGAAAGATATTTTTAGTAGGATCTAACTCTTCTGGTCTGCAGGTTAGGTGTTGGCCTTCTAATCACAAGGTTGGCGGTTCAAACCTACCAGACACTCCTTGCGAGAAAGATGAGGCTGTCTGCTTCCATAAAGATTTCCAGTCTCAGAAGCTCTATTATGGGTCACACCCATGGCAGTGAATGGGTAACTGAGTTAGTCTGGGTAAACTAGGGAAACAAATTCACAGAAACTCATATGTATAAAAGAGAGTTTTATATAAAGGGTAAGTGTACATTAAGAAAGTATCCCAACCCAGTGCTGCCCAAGCCCATAAGTTCAACATTAGCCCATATGTCCGACACCAATCTACAAAGTCCACCTCAATCTCACAAAATACACACAATGACGTAGACTGCAGGAGGAAAGCCGAATCAGTAAGCATGTAAGCATCTCAGCGCTGGCAGGGGTCACCACACGGCTGCTCCAGCACCCAGGACTGCATCAGGGTAGGTCCATGCGGCTTCTCCTCAGGGATATCTCACAGGAAGTGAGCCTTGCCAGCTGAAGCAGGGAACTGGTTAAGGCAGCTGCACCCTGGTCCAACCATCACAAATCAAGAGACCCAAGAACAAGAAAGGCCAGGCTCACTGAGCCATTTATCTCTCTGCCATTCAATTAATCCCACATGTATTTATTGGCCAGGTTGGCACAATAACCTTAACTATCTCAGTAACCTACATTTGAGACATAAAGTGGAAGAAATGAAGCTGGAGAACTATTTAGAATTAGAATGTAGATTAATTTATTATGATTTAAAGTAATTCGGTTACAAGTGGCACTTAGGCCAAATGTCCCTATTATAAAAACATGTCTTTTGGATCCCAGTGATAACTACCTCCCTGATTTTTATGGTTAGAGGGAGGAAGGAATTAAACAACAAATCTTTATTTTTGTGATGCTCACTTGTTGGCCTTTAAAAACGTATCTTGAAAAAAAAAAACGTATCTTGAAAGTTCTTCAAGCAGTAGAGCAAAAGTAACCATCCAAAGTTTTAAGAGAAAACTATAATAACATGTTTGTCATACAGTACATCTAGTAATAAGATTCAAGGGGGAAAAGTGCCAACTTTTGA